TCAACATGCTGGGGCTGCAATGCTGCATTTATTCTACATTGACTTAAACTAATCATAATGAAATAAAGTGCTATAAAGAAATTATTATTTAATTTAAAAATAAAAACTGCATCGAACTGCTGGGCTAATACTTCTGACAAAGTACTATTCAGGTTTCAGAGCTCATCACAGCACAGAAACAGCTTTCGTGAAGGTTACAAATGATCTTCTTCTGGCCTTTGACAGTGGAGTCATCTCTATGCTTGTCCTGCTAAACCTCAATGCATGAAGTCAGATAAAACACACCAATTAGTTAAACTGCAGGAATATCTTAATAAAGACCTGGAAGGCCTCTAATTTTTGCTTCTAAATTCAGATAAAACTGAAAATCTTAGAAATATGATATCTAACAGGATTCTCACTCTGCATTACCTTGGCCTCCAGTAACACTGTGAGAACACCTTTCATTTAGGACCAGGATATGTCCTTCAATGCATATACAAGACTATTTTATTCCATTTGCGTTGTATCTCTAAAATTACGTATAAATATCCTGTCTCAGACTATTGCTGAAAAACTAGTTCATGCATTTATCCGGTCGTTAAGTCTGACGTCACTAGCCGTGTCTGTGCCTAAACTCCGCTGCAGGTCCATATATCAAACGATCCCTATGGCATTACTGAGAGTTGAAAAACTGTCTAAAGTCTTTCATCTTTAATAAAATGATCAGCGTTCTACTCTACCAGGTGTAACAATTGAGTTTATCATCCAGGCATCCATGAAAACGGAATTTGTGATATTTAACGGAGTTAGAAGTTAGCAGGAAGTTAGCTCGCTAGCTTCTATCTAAATACAATATAGCATGTCCTGACTGCGGGGGTTTGGAAACAAATTCAAACGTACAGCTCTGTTATCACTTCCAACATAAATGAAGACAGGAAACTAAACAGCAGTGACATTTGTAGGGTTACTGAAGTTGGGCTAGCTGGTATATAATGATGTGCTACGTGACCGCTAGCGACACAGCTATGTTAGCATAATATAAACAAGCTAACTTTTTTTCCACTCGATAAAAGTTAACGTGAGTGTTCTCGGTGGTCAGGAACAAATGTAATCGCATGGCAGGATGCTGTAAAAGGACCAAACTTCAGCCAGGAGAACAACTGAGATAATCCATCCACAATACGAGGTTAGTCATTCATATACTGCTGCATGGTCTGGGCTGTAGTTACATCCTAAGGTTTTAAAAACTGATCTTAAATAAATGATTAGCGGTAATAAAAGCCGAGGGAGCTCAACAGTGATCACTGACTGTTTTAGGAGCTTTTTGAGATTAAATAGAAGAAAATACAAAACATTAAACATGTTAACAACACAAAAGCCATAAACGCAGACTACTTTAGGCCCGGAAGTAGGATTCGTCACGTCATCACTTAACGACCGGATTGTTTCTAGGCTAGACTGCACTGTAATGTTTTGTTCATTTAACAACCCGCAACACACAAAAAATGCATGAAAAATTCAGCAGCAGTTTGTGTGATCCAAACGAGGTGTGAATCCACTGAGAGGCATCTTTTTCTGGCAGTTTGCATAAATAGTATATGCATATGCTTCACGTGTGATATAAAAATAGTTTTATGAGAATTTCCATTGTAGCAGTGTGGTTTTCTTCTGTAATTGATCGTGCCTGCTCGAATCATTCATGTTTCGTCCTGCACATTGTGGTATTTGCTCACAATGATGTGTTTAAAAAGCTTCTACTTTAAAAAGAAGTATTTAGCATTTAGTTTTAAAAGTTGTAGTTGTATATTTTAAAGTTTATCGTAACAAAATGAGTCCACATTCAGGAAGGAAGGTCTAAAAACTATCGACAGCTTCAGCTAAAAATAGTCTGCGGCAGCTTGTTTTGAACTAGTTACACGTCCTGTTGATGCCCAAATGCATATGCATTCTGAGTAAACAGGGTTGGTAGGGCGTTGAAAGCAGAAAAGTAGCCAGCCATAGTTTGCATCTTGCATGTGGCTTTGCTTGTTCTTTCACAAGCACTGATACTGGGACATACCACAATACTGGAAAGTGAAAAAGTACAAGACTTTTGCTGATTCAGTCAAACTATTTTTAGATAGTTGCCTCGTCACTGCTGTTAGCTTGTAAAGGTCAGTGTTTCCACCTATAAACATACATAAGGTCTGAGAAGTTTTGGAGAATCTTGATTAAGCAATGAAAAAACAAACAAACAAAAAGAAAACACATGGAACAATAAGTGAATAAGCCCCAGGATTTAGTGATTTCCTTTATCTGTGCAAGAAGCTCCGCACTTTCCCCTGTAAGAGTGTTAGCATGTGTATGTGCCCATTTCTACCCCCCGGTTTAGCATGTGAATAAGGGTGTTACATATCAATATACTAAAATATATTTTTACTTTATTTTCTTTTTTCATTTTTATTATGTCCTCGTTAAACACTTTGGTCAGCACTTGCTGTTTTTAAATTGCTATATAAATAAGTGTGTTGGCAGGATGACTGACTTACAAAATGATCAGTTCTTGACATGTCTCTTCACCTCCATGTCTCTAGTCATTTGTGGTTTCCCTTCATGTCCTATCCACAGCTCAGACACAACCAGTAGTCTCAGTTATGCAGAGCACATCATATATGAAGCTGTAATTCACCACAGGGTTGATAAGAACTTTCTAATCTACAATAAAATCTCTTTATATAATTTAAATAATGAATGAACAACCATTTTGGGTTCTGTGGGTTGTGTATTGGGTTATGTGTGGGCTTGTTCCAGTGCAGGATGCTTGAGTTTGAAGGCCAGATCAACACCTTGCACTTTGTATTCTGTTTCCTGAACTGTTTTTGTCGCATAGTGGGACTTCTCTTAGAAATGAGATCTAAATCTAAATATCAGGAAGTAGGAACACGAGAATCTGGAGGAGCACCAAGGACTCTGAGAAGAGCTCGAGAAGATGTGGCGGGAGAAGGTAACAGTGGTCCCAGTGGTAATTGGAGCACTAGGTGCAGTGACTCCCAAGCTAGGCCAGTGGCTCCAGCAGATCCCAGCAACAACACTGTAGATCTTTGTCCAGAAGAGCGCAGTACTAGGAACAGCTAAGATACTGCGCAGGACCCTCAAGTTCCCAGGCCTCTGGTAGAGGACCCGAGCTTGAAGGGCAAACCGCCTGAAGGGGCAACAGGGGATTTTTTGCTGCACGCTGGTTCACAGCATGCAGTGAACCAGCGTGCTTCTGTTTTGATGACTTTTGAATTTTTCCTTCATCGTGTCACACCTCTGTGACGGGTTTCACCTTCCCTGTCCTTTGAATGTAAAGTGAATGATTTATATGATTTTGTATTTAATCAGCATGTCAACAGTCTGCAAATTATAAAAAAACAAGGTAACAGCTTACAAAAAATTAAATAAGAACAATTTTCATTCATCTTATAGACAAAATTACATACGTTACAACAGAGATCTTGAAAATACTGAAAGTATGATAGAAATAAAAGACTGCAGGTGACTTCAAGTCCTTATTTGCAAATGAACCGACTCAAGAACTACTTTGATAGTAAATTAAACCTAATAGCAAAAGCACAAAACAGACAGACAAACAGGCAGACAGGACACCACAATAAAGACTTTTGTTCAGTATTTTTCAGGTCATTGCATGTTTGATTATGAGTAGGTGTCTGCTCAGCTCTGATATACAGAAAACTAATTCAGTGCATCACCACTGGCAGCACAGTATCAGTGAAGCCAGTGAAGGTGTAGTTGTAGCAACCAAAACTACTCTGTTGGCTTGTGCAACAAAAATACTTGGTTATGGTTAAAAAATGATCTAAGTTTGTCTACTCAGATATGAAACTAATTATGTAACATGGAATTAACATTTTGTGTGCAGGGAGATAAAGTGTGTGGAAATGCGACTGGGGCTGGTTTCACTTAATGTCATGTAAAATGTGACTTATTATTTAGGGTACAATAACTTGAAAAAGAAATAACTTAATAGCAGATAATTAAAAAAGAAAAAGATGAATGGATGGATTTGTAGCACACTAAGCTGCACACAGCACACACTTCCTGCAGTCAGCTTTAATCAAAACGTACGTCTGTGGTGGCCTCTTTTCATATTTTCCCTCATTATTTCTCACCTCACAGAGAATTACTCAATAAACATCTTTTACTGTAAGTACTTGCCTACAATATCATGTCATGACAAAGGAAAAAAACCCTGTTTGTTGGTCATTCATGTTTCAAAGTGTCAGGTTAATTTTTGGCACTTACATTTTTTTCAAACGGTTGGTAAAACTTTCAGTTTTTAAACTCTATTTTTTGTGTAAACAGAAAATAGAGTTCAGAATAAAGTTTACGTTACGTTGTATTATCACTCTGTAAAAGTAGAGCTAACAGGTGATCCATGTCAGGTTTGTCTATCATCATTTATTTTTTAACAGGCTGACCTAAATGAACTTCACAATTTTTTTTAACATTTACATTTACAAAACAATTAAATGTAACAATTTGAAGCTCAAAGGTCGATAAAGACTAGCAGATCAAGTAGAGTATAATAAAAATTATGGAATTACATTACAATTCTCAAAAAAGCAAAAGTGTAACACGACATAACTTATGTTAGCGAAAGCAGAGTGCTTTTTTGTTCTGTCATCAGCTTGCAATAATGTGTTTGCCTCTAAATATGTAAATGGTTTGCAAATTTTTACAGGAAGTGCATTTTGTGCTTCAGCCAATCACTGTGATTTCCACTTTGTAAACCTTAATCAGCTCATGACTAAATCTTCCTTTGAGTGTAAAGATATTAGTTATGAAAGAGAAGGCTGAGGTACCACAATGGTTGGAAGACTGGTTTCTTTGATGCTTCTAAGTACATTGTGTGAGTTTATCATTGTAAACAATGTAAAACATGAGGTTTTGTAATATTTGGCATAACATGATGAATATACTTTTGAGTGCTTTTTTCTGTTTTGTTCTAACTGTTACTGTTTGTCTCTTTGCTTCAGCTTTGACTGAAACGAATGAGGTTCCTCAGCAGATCTCTTTAACTGTGGCTAAACCCGGAGATAATGTGACTCTGACATGTGCGCTCTCTGGAAGTGATAAAGGGTTGTTTTACTGGTATAAGCTGAATTTTGGATATATGGTTCAAACAGTTGCTGAAGGAAGTTTTGACAAAATATTTCAAAAGAACAACTCAAGATTCAGTGCCACAAAAGTGGGTAATGTGCATTCTCTTATCATAAGAAATGTAAGCAAAAAAGATGAAGCAACGTACTTCTGTCAAGCAGGATCATCATTCAGTATGAGATTTAAAAATGGCACAATTGTGGCAGTGAATGGTAAAGTATGTTAATTTGATTGTTTATATCATATCTGCGGCTAAAGCCAAACAATTCTAGTTAATGCTATTTTATGTCTCTCTGTGACTCCCACAGATCCTAAAACGCAAAATACATTTGTCACCATGAAGAAAAGTCGAGAAGTGGAGCCAGTCCATGTGGGTAATGCAGTCACTCTGCAGTGTTTGCTCCTCTCCAAGAACAAAACTGAGACAGATCAGTGTCCATATGGTGAAACATCTGATAGTGGGACCTACTACTGTACTCTGGTAACATGTGGACAGATCCTGTTTGGGGAAGGAGCTAAAGTGGAGACCAGTATGTTTGTAAAGTCTTATTTACGTCTTTAGTTATTTTGCTTGTTATTGCTGTCTTGGTTTCCATGAATATATACTAGAGGGCTTCGCATGGTAGTTTTGAGCCCTCTAAAATTGATGTGAGTTAGATAATTAGGTGATCATTGTGTGGATATGCAATATGATGTATCATTAGCTGCTGACAGCTCAAAATACTTAATATAAACATTATAATGTTCTTACGTCTCACAGTCCACAGTGGTTGGAAATCTATAAATCAGATTTGCAGTTTAAAGCTTACAAGAATTATTGCAGGTTCCTTTTGGCTGCCTTTGCTACTTGTGCTTTTTCTTCTTCGTCTTGGCATAAAAATCACAAATGTATGAACTAATGTTTATGAAGATTTATTACTGAGACACTGTACATCTTGGAAATTGAGCCAAAAAGTGGTTGGAATCCTGAATGTTTTTTGTTTTTAGCTTTTCCTGAGTTTCTACTTCTGAAACTCAAAATTCATGCAGTGAATGAAAACTATTTAAATGAAACTTTAATACTGTGACCTCACTCACAGTGAGATATGTACATTATTGTGCCATTATATAATTAGAATGTTAACAGTCTGCTGTAATGTTTTCTTATTCCAGAGGAGTTCCTGCTCGTTACTGTGCTTGGAGCACTGCTGGCCTGCGCTGTGTTTGTGAACTTTGCACTGATTCTCACCAAAAAGAAAAAAGAAAGAAAAAAGAAAAAACAACCTCGCGAGCACTGCAAAGGTAAGTTATTCACATCTAATATAACGTAGTGTGCGTATATATATAAATATATATATATATATATATATATATATATACATATATACCCTGGGCGCCTCCTGGGTGAGGTGTTCCAGGCATGTCCCACCGGGAGGAGGCCCCGGGGCAGACCCAGGGCACGCTGGATAGATTATATCTCTCGGCTGGCCTGGGAACGCCTTGGTATTCCCCCGGACAAGCTGGAGGAGGTGGCTGGGGAGAGGGAGGTCTGGGCCTCTTTGCTTAGGCTGCTACCCCCGCGACCCGGCCTCGGATAAAGCGGATGAAGATGGATGGATATATATATTTACTATTTACTGAACTGTAACCTCAGTTTGTTCTTAGCTGACAGGAGTAGCACCCGTATTAAAACATGTTAAAATATTAAAAGCTAATACTAATATCAATCATTGTTTCTACAAGAGAGTATCTTGTAGGTTTCTTATGACATTTATAATAGTGATGGGTCATTCGCGAACGAAATGGCTCTTAGAGCCGGCTCTTTGACGTGAACGACGCGAGCCGGCTCCTTATCGCGAGCCGTCACGTGGGTTTTTTTTTTTTTCTTTCTCTCAGCCTCTCTCTCTCGCACTTTTTTTCCGTTTCACTCTGCACGCGAGCCTTGTGCTTTACGCTGGGCAGAGGGGGGAGGGGCGGTAGTTACACTCAGTAGCACAGGAACAGAGCCAGAGAGAGAGAAAGAGAGGCAGGGACAACAACATTAGAAAGGTATAGTAATCATCCACAACTATTTTCGGTTGCAGATGATAAAGGATTGAGAAAGTTTATTCATGCAGGTCCATATGACAGAGAATATGCATGTTCTTTTAGTTTTCATATTATAATTTATATTTAATTGTGTTGTGGTTTGCAGTGTTTTGTGTTCTTTTCACTTTAAATTTGTGAAAGGAAAAAGCTGAAAATGTAAATAGTTAAAACTTGAAATGTGAATAGTTGATTTTTGTATTATATGATTTATTTATTACATTTTATGTGGAGTGAATAAATAAAAGTATATTTACGGTGGCCCCTAGAGACAAAGCACATACAAACTTCAAATCACGTACGAACTCTGAAGCATGTACAAACTCCAAAACACGTAAAAACACGTACAAACTCCAAAACACGTAAAAACACGTACAAACTCCGAAGCACGTAAAAACTCAGAAGCATATAAAAACTCAGAAGCACATAAAAACTCAAAACACGTACAAAAGAACAACAGAAGTGCTCCAGGATGCTGGGCGCAGTGTTGAGCCTTTGTTATCTTGTGGCTACACAAGCCAGCAAGTACCAATGACTGGATTTGGTGTGTGGTAATAACAGGTAAATGAACTTTTTTTTAAATTATTTGAATATATATATGAGTGCCTGTGTATAAATACACAAACAATACACACATGCTTTCAATTGTGTAATTTAAGTGATCTAGTAGCTCTGCTTTGGAAGTTCAGTTCATGCTAGAAATATGTTTTGGAGTTTGTACGTGTTTTGTCTGTAGGCGCCACCGCATATATTTATATATAAACATATATAAATAAAACCACTTTTTTTACGTTAGTAATTCCTTTTGTGCATAATTTTATATTATTGTTAATAATAAATTAATTAAAGCAACAAAACAACCTGAAGAGCCGGTTCGGAGCCGAAAGAGCCGGCTCTTTTTAGTGAGCCGAACCGAAAGAGCCGGAAATCCCATCACTAATTTATAACTAGGAGTAGTGATGAAGTTCTTTTCTATCCTGACTGTTATTTGTACAGCTCAGAGCCTTTCATTTAATTTATTATGTTTTTATTTATTATGATATACACTTTTAATTAATTCAGGGCATTTGTTTTTTCTACCCTTTTAGTGCTATTTTTTTTTTAAACTTTAAATAAATAATTCTCAATTGTGGCTCATGAGTTGTCCCATATAATGTGTTCAACCTTTAAATTAAGCTCTTAAACAACTCTATTATAACTTTAAAATCATCAAACTGATATTTATTTGAACTTTTGCATAAATATTTTAATATATATATATATATATTATAATTTATGCAAATTTAAATTGTGCTCACCACAGCCATGAAAGTCATGAAACATTCTATTGGTTCTGATAAGAGAGGCCTTTCAGCTCACAGAACATGACCAGAGCAGAAGAAAGACTACAATCACCAGTTGCAGTATGTGACAAAGTTGGAGTCTGCTGAACTAAAAGATATGAATTTAACAACAGCAGTGCACTAACGCAACCTGATGAGCCTACCTGTAGGCAAATGTAAGGGAAAGTCATGACAATAGTAAATCCACTGCGCTGTTCTCTCAGATGAATGAAAAAAAGCTCAATCTGTCTGACGATGTATTTATTGATAATTTGCATCTTTGAATATTTTTTATAATTTATTGTATTTTACTGTATAAATACATTTGCCATTTAAGATGATTGCACACCAGATTGGCAGAGGATAGTTAACTTTTATTTATTAAAGTTCTTCAGTTTTGGAAAAAGGGCCAACGATTATTTTAAAGCAAACAGTCATGTTTAACAAAATTAGTGAATTTTCGACATATTCAGCACTTTCTGTGTGATATTTCTGTTCGGCTCTACTCCATAGAGAGAACTGTCAAACTTCACAACTGCCAGAAATTTGAATTTCAAATTAATTCCTCGTGGTTCATGCAAGTTTTCTGTAAAACAATTTTTTTCCCTAAAACTATTATCAACATTTCCATTACAATAGTGTATATAAGTAAACACAAACAAAAATATTCCTAGTTTACTAGAATTCAAATAGTTACTTAATAGATGAAGTCACAATTGCAGATAATTAAAGAGAAGTTGTTTCAAATGCATTTCATGAACATAAAAATGACTCCACCAGACTTAAGCAGCTGTTCCAGTAGTCAGATTTTAATCGACCAAAGTGATAAAACAGGAGGTTAACGGTTTGAATTTGCAGGTGCTAAAATGTGCTTCTATCATCATGTGAAGCTGAAGCTGCCGTGAGAGTAAATGGAGGCTCTGTACAGCATTACTAAAGCCTTAAACAGTTTATTCTGGATTCTGACCTGACAAGGTAAAAAAAAAAAATCACTGTTAATATCTTTTTTAATGAACAGGAAAAGTAGAAGTCTTTACTGATGTTGAACAGGAAAAATCATCTGGGGATCAAATGAGCAATGAGGTAAACACACACACACACACACCATCTATAGCTATCCAAATATCCATATAATGTCTATCTAATAATGACATATATGACTAGACTTCGATCATAATATTGGATAGGTACTGCACTTGATAGGTGCTCTCATTGACAAATTAAATACTGAATTTTTAAGGTTGAAACACACAGAACGAGTAAGATAAACATTCTGGAAAAGATATAGGAAGCAGTTGGATGTTGTGAAATACAGGAAAGTGCAGACAGCAAAGGTAAAAGAAATAGTTTTGATCTGAAGCTGAGGTGTCAATGACAGTTTAGTAATGAATCACACCTGACATCCCACCAACAAGTCCTTTAAAGTGAACGAGGACATGTTTGGTTAGGTCACACTTTAGTGTAATATGTCTACTTTAGATGTGTGTTTTCATGATCGTAACTAGCAAATATGAAACAGCTGCAGTTACCATTGCACGGAAACATGAAGTCGTCTCAAATAATAATCGTTTGAAGAGAAACAAACAGACAAGGCTATGTGTTGTTCTCTGTGTTGTTTATGTTTACGTGTCCTATGTTTTTAAAAATATTTTCAAATGTTTGTTCATTTCTGTTAATAATTTACAGGAGGGTGAAGAAGCAGGACTAAACTATGTGGCTCTGGATTTCCCCTCAAGAAAATCTTCAAGATGGAAGAGTAAGAAGGAGTCACCAGAGTGCACCATATACTCTGGCATTAGAGAGGGCCAGTAAAAGGCTGTCCCCATGAAGCATGCAGATTCCTCTGGGGTAAAGAAAATGTGTTGCGATCAAAAAGAAAATTACAGTGAGGAGGGATTGTTTTTTTCTTCTGTTTCATTTTTTTTGCTGTGAGAGAGACTCTTTTTATTACCTTTATGATTCTTGTTTTGATGAAGAAGGTGGAGTAGTTAATATATATGCTGTGTATGTTTATTGCAAGGCTACGGAGCCCCGCAAGGGACATGGGAGAAAAAAAATGCAGATAAACTTTTGCGAGATCTTGCAAAAATAGGCAGCATGCTTCAGAGGCTGCTAGCTCGAAGCTGACCGGGTGGTTGAGGCACGATGTGCTGGGAGTGCAGTATTCTCGCTGGCTCTTGTAGGTCTCAACATCCCAGTAAGCTTTGAACTGCTGGGTAACAAACGTCTCCGAAAACATGAGAACGCTTTTGCAAGTATTTGATGTGTTGATAAACTGAGCAGATATTTGAAGTTTACACGGCTACATTCGCCTGAAAATATCTTAAACGTTTATTTTGTGACCCAGAAAGCGTAATATTAAAACTAAGTAATATTGCTGCCACAGTTGTTGGAAACTGGAGTTGGCTGGGCCTCACTATGAAATTTGGGATAGGTTGGGACACAAAGGACGCATTTGGAGCAGCCTTCGAATTGGGACAGCCTTCGTCGTCTGGCTTGTCAGCTTCGAGCTGGTGGCCTCCGGAGGATGCGGCCTATTTTGCGAGATCTCGCAAAAGTTCATCTTCCTTTTTTTTTCTCCCATGTCCCTTGCAGGGCTCCGTACAACGCAGATTGGTAGCTGTGCAAAAAGATATACATTTTTTAAGTAAAAGTCTTAGGGGCAACAATTTATTTGCTGCTTATGTTCTTGTAACTTTTTAGTTTTTATATTCAAAGTTAAATAGCATCTTGCTTATCTGCCCACTGTAGTATCTGTGAATACTTTTATAAAAGATACTGGAAATAAACAATACTATTGCATCCAGTGTTGGGGTTGTTATTCAAAAAAGTACGTCATTACACATACTAGTTTGTTTTTTTTCTCCCTACTGAGATCACTGCACCACTCCGTCCCTGCAGCTGAGGGACCAGGGACCATGCCTCTGGCACAAAAAGTAATCCAGTATGTTAGTTATTCACACCATGAAACTGGTCACATAGATATTATTATTAACTACATAAACTAAAGAACCACACACTGAAACAAATCTATACTGTAATGAGGACTTGCATATTAATTGAGTGACTGATGAAGCCTTTATTTGTCGCTTGCAGTTGCGTGCAGCGAAATTGGACCTCTGCTTACCATACATACATTACACAAACATCACATTGGGGAGACAGGTCAGAACAGGGAGTGTAAAGAGAAACAAATGTACAACACAATAAGGCATTGGAGGAGAAAAACGACAACTCTATTTAGACTGAGCTAGTGGTAGGGGATAACAATGAGAACAGAAAAAAACTCTTCAGCAAAAAAGCACATAAATCTTCACATCGTAACCAATGTTCCCTCTAATTTTTCATGTGTCTGAGCGAACACACAAGCTCTCTGAGCGGACACTTGGACCACTGTGAACAACAGCAGACGTGTGCACTCGTCACGGTCTGGCTGGCAGACCGTGGGGATGAGGAAAGTAGGACCCAAAACGCAGGACTCTGCGATGCCACAGTGCACTTTATTTACAGTGAATAGACAGGTAAGTCCAACAATTAACTCAGAGATGTAATTTGCCAATGGTGCTCATCCCTTGCTCCCAGTGCGTCCCGTGTTGTAGTCCCCTTAGTTTGTGTGCTCCCCAACTCGCTTCTTCGCTCGACTTTCCTGGAGGAAGAAGGGAAAACCACAATTAGCCACACACGCTAGTCGACTACCAAGACCACACGCCTAGCACAGACTATACCGGTCAAGAGTAATAATCCCACGTCGACTGTCGCTGCGAGTCCAGGTTAAATACCTCTTCCTAGCCGGGAGGGATGATTACCACCAGCTGGTCAGGTAATCAGCTGCAACAGCAAAGAGGGACTCCCGATGACGACAGTCGCCCGGACACGCCTCTCCCACAACGCGCGCTTCCGTCAACAGCCCCAAGGACGGGGGGAGAGAGAGAGAAGCAGACACACGCACTCTACATACAAACGTGGACAGAACAGTAGACGACACAGACCCCAAATAATAGTCGTAATAATAATAATGACAATAATAACCACTGCTCACGGACCCCTGAGTCCTCCAGAGCCGGGTCCGTGACAGCACTGTGGTCACGCCAGCATCGAATCCATCCAAGTTACATGGTTTATTAAAATAAGCAAATTACAGCATTTACATTTATGTTAGACTACTTTTAATTAACTGCTTTAGCCCACTTACAATGAAAATTTGAAAAAAATCTTGTTAACACTATTGGAAATAAAAATAACTTGAACTCCAATTTTGAAAACACAACTTTATTTATTTATTTTTTAAAATAAAGCTCTGACTTGTATTATGAGTCTGTGGTCTGGGAGAGATTCCTGTGGAGCTGAACAGGGCTTAGCGGTAATAAAAGCCGAGGGAGGTCAACAGTGATCACTGACTGTTTTAGGAGCTTTTTGAGATCAAATAGAAGAAAATACAAAACATTAAACATGTTAACAACACAAAAGCCATATTAAACGCAGACTACTTTAGGCCCGGAAGCAGGATTCGTCACGTCATCACTTAACAACCGTATTTAGACAGCAGCATCGGTTCGCGGCATCTCCACGAGGTCCAGCTGATCCGCCGTCTGCATCAGATGGGGGGGCAAGCATCGGATGCATTTGGAATGGGGAGGGGAGTGAGTGTGCATCTGTGTCAGTGTACATGCGTATGTGTACGTGTGTTTGTGCATCCTGTGTTCAACTTAAGAGAGTGTCCTATCACCCAGTTAACCAACAGTCCTTCAGCCAACGGAGGTGTCCTTGAAGGATTTTCTTTCTTTCTCTCTGCCTGGCTTGTGGATAACCAAAGAACCCTTGTAATGCATTTCACTAGCTGGGCCCACATCCTCATTTTAGGTTTGACAGCATTTTAGTAGATTAAAAAAAGCGAATCAATAAATAATTTTGCAAAGTCATTTGGATTCGATTTCGGAGCAGTCCTGAGTCTGTCTTTGAAATTCTGTGGCTGAATAGATAAACATGAATTGAGCTGCAGTTTGGGGAAGCTCTCGAAGGGGACTGGCGATGGCTCCCAGGCTTGGCAGCTTGTAGTTGGAGGTGAATATGTCTTGTTAATATGTCCTTGTTTCCATTCTGTGAAATAAATGCATGAGGTCTAATATGACTACGTCATTTTACTGTTCTCAGCTGAGGCTATTAACTAACTATAAATACACCCAAATGTGTATTTCCTAAGCCTAAAAGAAGAACAAATGACAGAAACTGCATACATCACAGAAAACAGAATTTGTAACAGGATGTAAGGTTTGTTTTAAATTCATGCCATGGTCAACACTGTCATTAGCATCCGCATTTTACTCCTCAACATTTACCACAGGTGGCCAAGTCCAAGTATCAGGGCAGCTGACATTCTTAGAGAGGAAATAAAAACATATTTTCTTGAGCTGCTGCTCATTTCCTTTTCTTTACTAAGAAAATGGGAAAAAAGGTGTGGTGATTTACTAAAATGTGGAAACATGCAGAAACAAGCATACAGTATATAAGGGAAAGGGATTCTTCAACACAAAACAGCACAAAGTCAAGATTTCTTGTAATTTTCAAGTTGTCTTTGTCTGTCAAGATGATCCCACTCTGTTTCAACACTCTGGAGGCCAACCTTATGACTGATAGTGTTGAACATGCTACCTTCACTGTTCATCTGGTATAGACGAGTCTTTTTTTAGGCCTGACATTACTTTGTTCTCCACTTGTCCAGTTTGCTGTTTTTTTTTAATTTTTTTATTTACTTAAAATGTTCTTTAAAAACACAAAAAGAGCACTCAAAGCGCTTTATACACCATGCTCACCTTTCATACTCATTCACACTCCGCTGGATGCATCATAGGGCAACTTGAGGTTAGTACTGTATCTTTCCCAAGCTACTAACATACTAGCATGCAATATTTGGCATGCAGGCTACAGCAGCCAGGGACTGAATTTAGAAACAGAAAAACAGGCTTCATCGAGGTCTTTATGTCTCTTGTGAAAATATATGCTGTACCTTCTAATAATACTTGCTAAAAGAAGAAGAAGTACAAGATGTATAATGTAAACAGAACTGGTCCTAGCATGCAACCCTGTGGAACTCCATAATTAACCTTAGTTTGTGAACAGGACTCTCTATTAAAATGAACAAATTGGAGACTGTTAGATAGATATGAATCAAACCACTGGTGCACAGTACCATAAATATCTACAGCATGCTGTAATTGATGTGATAAAATATTATGGTCAACAGCATCAAACGTTGCACTGCGGTCCAGCAGGACAAGCACAGAGAGATGAGTGCACTGTTTCTGTATAGTGATGACTTCTGAAACCTGACTGAAACTCCTCAAATAAACTATTCCTCTGCAAATACCGTATTTTCCGGATTATAAAGCACACTTAAAATCCTTTGCTTTTCTTAAGAATCGACAATGCGCCTTACAATCCGGTGCGCCATATGTATGAATTCTGGGTGTGCTTTCTGACCTTATTTGGTACACGGCGCTCGAAAAATCTTTAAAAAAATATTTTAGTAGGACTTTGGTAAGCTACACAGCTGCACCGCCTGATGGATTATGGCTACTGTAGTCAGGAGCCTCCCGGAGTAACCCGGGTCCAACACTATGTCTGCTTCAGGTCCCAAAGTCAAACGAACACTGCGGCATCGCTGAGAGTTAAAAACAGTCTAAATCCTTTCATCTTTAATAAAATGATCAGCATTGCTGCTTTACCAGGTTAAGTTTAAAATCCAATCAATTTATTAAATTTAACGGACTTAGAAGTTAGCTAGAAGTTAGCTCTCTAGTTTCCACCTACACATGATTTACCATGTTCTGACAGAGATTTCTGAAACAAATTGAAATGTGCTGCTCTGCTATCACTTCCAACTTAAATGAAGACAGGAAACTAAACAGCAGTGACGTTTGTAGGGTTACTGAAGTTGGACTAGCTGGTATATAATGATGTGCTACTGGATCGCTAGCGACACAGCTATGTTAGCATAACATAAACACAGTGAAGCAGAAGGATGAACGCTAACTTTTTTCCACTTGATAAAAGTTAACGTGAGGGTTCCTGATGGTTAGGGACAAATGCAATCGTATGGCAGGATGCTGTAAACGGACCAAACTTCAGTCAGGAGAACAACTGAAATAATCCATCCACAATACGAAGTTAATCATCAATATACTGCAGCAAGATGGGAATAGAGCAGCACCGAGAGAATTCAACATTAATGAATCAATTGTACGGAAATGGAGGAAGTAAGAAGAA